GAGAGAGAGAGAGAGAGAGAGAGAGAGAGAGAGAGAGAGAGAGAGAGAGAGAGAGAGTAATGTTCCTCTCCTGCAGGCAAGAGTTTACTGAGTGAGAAAGGAGGCAGTCTGTCAATATGAGATACTGCGGGAGTGTGTGCGTGTGTGTGTGTGTGTACAGTGTGGCTTAGAGGTATGTACGTTTGTGAGTCTGTTTGTATTTGTATATGTGTGCGTGTGTAAAATGCTTCTATGACCTGTTACAGCTTGTCTGTGTTTCATAGCCAAATCACTACACACACACATACACACATACACAGAGGAGAAAGGAGCCTCATACACAAACACACAAACAGACCTGATCAAACACATGCATGTTGGACAGAAGGGAGCAGGGAAATGTTTCTTGTTATCTTGCAAGCCCTTGTAAATATTGTAACTAGGGATGCGCCAATGTGAGATTTGTGAGCCGATAATTGTTTCATGTGTATACCTGTTGATGCCGATTCATAAACATTTGTAAAATGTTGAAACTGGGATTACATCTACCTGGATTAGTGTTACAGGAAAATCTAATATTTAGTTCTGTAGGGTTTAATGAGTAAAAAGCTTGCATTTTAGCACAGAAGCATAGAAGCTCAGTAAGTGGCAAGCCCAGTAAAACATTAAACTCTTCCAGAGTATAATACATACATCAGCAAACATCAGAGAAATCTAACCATCTATCTGATGCCGACAATTTTCTAAGCTAATATCTACCGTTATCGATAAGTTTCCAGTATCATGGTGCATTGCTAATTGTAACACACACACACAGAGGGACTAAACCATAATGCACATCATTCTTATAACACACATGCTGGAGAAAACATTCAGCCTGAACAATGACAACATAATACAGAGCTCACACTTAAAATTCACAGCACAGATGAAGGTCTTTGTGTGTCTGAGTGTGTGTGTGTGTTTGCGTGTGATATTTCAAATGGCAGTCAGACTGGTTCTTATGACTAATGATCTCTTCTAAATGAATAATTGCTGTTTTCCTTTTACACCCCCTACACTCACACGTGCACACACACACACACACACACACACATACAGAAGCGTACACACACACCTCAGACATAATGTCAAGAGAGCATGTAAATCACCTCTGTGTCCGACACGCATCCTTACACCAGAGAGAGAGAGAGAGAGTGTGTGTGTGTGTGGGTGTGTGTGTGTGTGTGTGTGCGTGTGTGTGTGTGCACATGTGAGGGAGACAGAAAGAGGAGATGAAGGGGAAAGGTGAGGATAAGAAAGAGTGGAAAAGAGAGTGAGTGTGTGTTTGTGTGTGTGTGTGTTGAAGGTTGTTGGGGGGTAGACAGACATTTTGATGGAGAGAAGCAAAGGAGGGAGGGAGGAAGAAGAGGGTGGTAGAAAGAGAATGAAAAAGAGCTGGATAGATAGAGTGAGAGACTGAGATGGAGCTGTTCGTAGCATAGCAACCCAAAAGCCTTTTCTTTTTCTCTCTCGCGCAGTCTTTTTATCTCTCTTTCTCTCTCTCTCTCTCTGTCTCTCTCTCTCTTTCTCTCTGTGATGATCTTGACCAATGACAGCGTCCCTGCAATATATTATACTCTATTTTCTCTTCCCTCAGTTGAGTGCGAGACAAATCAGCCGCCTGAGACGCAGACACACACACAAATACACACATGCGCGCACACCTATCAGTGTGTTTAATAATGTGTGAAGTTTGCTGTTCCAGAGGAAGCTGGATGATGTGAGGGCTGTGAACGGCCAGCCTCTATGCAATGGCAGTCCCCATCAGTGCAGTCAATTTCATTAGTGTCCAAATTAGTTTCACAAGCTTGGCTTGGACTAATTGATAAAATAAAAGAACCACAGAGATCTGAGATGTGTAATTTCTTTAACAGTTAGCTCTGACACATTTGTCACATCTGTCTGTTAGACATTTTTAGTGTTTTTTTTTACAGAAAATGGAGACCTGTGCCTTTTCTGATTTTATGCCTTTATTAGTGGTATAAGTATCTGACCATACAACAGTTTGTTTAAAGTTTGATACTTTAGGAAATTATTTAATACATAATGAAGTCTCAGATTTCACCATGATTCAATTCAACACAATTGTTTTGGTGCAATTCAAAGTAGGGTTGAAAATAAATTAAATGCAGCCCTTTGTGATATCAGAACTGTAAATACCAATTTCACAATAAAAATTAACACACAAAACGTTGTGCAGCCCAAATTTAGAATTAAGTTTAAAATGCACTGTATATACAGTCTTTAGATTGATGTACCATGATGCATCATTGCATTTGTACACTCCTAGCACTGGTACTTACTGATTTTTGCATATGAATATATGAGCGTTGAATATTGATAAACATGTCTTTTTGTTAGACCTTTTCCATCCCTGTATTGCAGAGTGAGGTGGATTCTGATGGCTTTCAGATATTCATTTCTAAATCAATTAGTCACTTTTGCCAATGCTGTGACAACACCTTATTAATACATTGACATCTGTTTAATATTATGATTAGTGAATATGAGGTTCACCCAGACAGCTGAAAATTAGTGCTACATTTGCGGTTTGAAATGCAGCATGAAAGTGGAAAGAGGCTGTCATAAGCTGAGGTTGGGCAACATGTGCCGTACCGTTCAATGACTTAAGATGGGTGAACCACCTAGAAACTTTTTTTTGCTCAACACCAACAAATGTGTTTTCTGATTAGGGATAGAAAAATATTTTATTGCATCAATTCGACGGTAATGATTTAATGATTTTAGACTGTTAAAATTGATTATTATTGATTAATAATATTTAGTGAAACGTGCATGTAAAGCATGTACTCTAAGTTGTTCTTTCAGTCCCATTTGTGCTTTCAGTATATTTAAAAAAATGATCAAAGTGTCATTTTGCTTATTAAATTAATCAGATTGTCTGATTAATGCATTACCAGTGCAGAACAGATCATGTACACAATTTTTTTTAAATGTCACATACACCTATGTAACCATGTCAATAGCCAGTGTTATTCATTTTCTATGTGGTGTTCAACTGTGTTTGTCTATGTGTGCATGTGTATTTATCTCAGAGTGTGAGCCGTGAACGGTAGGGTGTAATAGGATGTATTCTGCTACAGAGGAAATGCATTTTGAATTGTGTGTGGATATGTTGTGTGTTCAGTCTTTTTGTAATTACCCCACTCTATTGTGCTTTAATTAATTACATTAATCAAGTGAATTGAGACTTTGTGTGAGCTGTGAGAATGTGCATGTGTGTGAATATGTTTGATGTCTCATAGGGGTCAACCAATTATCGGCCCTGCTGATAAAGCCAATATTCAGGATTTTTTTTTCAATTATTGAACTAGTTTCCTTTACGAAAAAGCGCTTTTTGTTGTGTTCGTGCATATTTTACACAACAAAAAAAAAACACTTCTGTAGTCTGGCCCAATGTCCTACCCACAGTGTTATTGGACTGCTTAAATTGTGGATGATACATCAAGGAGAACCAACCAGCGTGTCTGTAGTCTGCCTCTGTGTCCTGACCACAGTGCTATTGGATTGGTAGAAATGTGGACCACGTGTTGATTAAATGCAATCAGACATGCTTTTTGGTTTTGTGAGAGACACACTGAGTGTGTGCATCACTTCCATAGCGAGAGGAAAGATAAGAACATGTCGAGGTTGAACAATGCAATTAGCAAAAAGGACAATTAGGGCTGCACAATTTGGCGAAAAATTTGAATGGTGATTTTTCTGACTAATATTGCAACTGCGATTTAAATTGTGGTCATTTTATATAAATTGAGGTTCAGACCTGTTTTTTTTTTACCAAGAAGACCAGAATATTCACTTTTTCTGGCTTGAGGCTTGACCCCTTAACATAGTGTGCCAGAAATCTAGTAGGTTGTGGTTGTGATTTCACAACACATGGAGGTTTGGTTGCCTCTGAGTGGTCTAACTCAGTGTGCGGACTTGTACTTCTTTACTAGTTTGAATGCGTTCAGAATATGTGTGTAAATATGTTGTTGTTACTCTTTACAATGTAGTGACATTTTTTACTGCATGATCGTTCAGAAGCCTACTGTAATATTTTTGCTGGGCTTACATTTACAGTTCTACATAGTTGGTTAGTGAAAGCTTTATACAATTTGTAGCATTGATCTAGGCTTTCTCACTTTACACTTTAAAAAATAATTAATAAGCTGTTATAAGACATTAATAAAAAAGCCATCTGATAAATATAGATATGTAATGAAGCTGACAGGTTTAATGCTGACTGATAAAGAAGACAAAATAAAATCAGTAAACATCAAAGTCTGAGGTTTAACAGTATAAATTAATGTGTTGTTCCTTTTCCAACCCTTGGTTAGGCAAACAACTGGTCTTAATTTCATCTTTAAGATTAAATTAATAACCATAAGTAAGTTCATTTTAAACCATTGATGTTTGCTTTATAAGGGTAGTCTTATTTTAAAGTGGTACCAAAAATTGTGTAAATGTATTTATATTTTTTTTAACTAAAGTTTTTGAGACTCTTGTTTGAGCTCCTTTATTCTTACAAACATGACTGGCTATCAAACGTCATTGAGAGCTATTTAAATTATTTATTTTTGTTTGTTTAAAAATATTTGTTATTATTTTTGTAACGTATACTGTCTAAAACTCAGAGCACTTTATTTTTATAGTGTTCTTATATTCATTTAATATACAATGTCAGTAATAGTTGCATTCTTACACACTACAAACATAAAATTTATGGTAAATTATTATTGGCCTAAATATTGGTTATTGGTTATGTCCCTGATCGTTATCTAACTGTTATCAGTATCAGCCGTGAAAAAACCATATTGGTCAGCTCCTAATGTGTAATGTATGATGTGTGTGAATGTGTGTATTTGTACAGCTCCCCCTCCCTGCTCCCCTGGCCTATGTGTGTGTGTGTGTTAATGATACTGTCTCACGCCTTTGACATCTCACCGTCCTCTCCTTTCTTTCTGTATGTGTGTTAGGTGTGTGTGGAGTGGGATGGTGAGGCAGCAGCAGAGCGTCACTGGAGGAGGCTGAAGGAGGAGTGGGAGGTGTTTGTGCTGGAGCATGAGCTGGTGTGGGCCAGGAGGAGAAACACCACCTCACAGGAGAACAGCTCACTGCAGCCTGCACTGGTGAGTGTGCACACACTCATGACATCAAACTTTAGCCCCTTATACTGTAGGATTTTCCCTTATTTTCATCTGATGATTCTTAAGGCTTATTTAGTAACTACTATAAATGGTTCTGTAACTACCATGAGACTAATGTGCAAGTTGAGGAACTTGTGAGTGAGCAATCTGGCCTATGTGTAGGCCTTTTAAATTTAAGAGATTAATACTTAATATATAAGCACACACATACACACACATCCCAATACCCCTAACTTCCACTACTGCAGCTGCAAGAGACAGTGCTTGCAGGATAGTTATTGATTTTTCTTTTCTTCTGCAACTGTGTGTGTGTGTGTGTGTGAAAGAGCGAAAGAGTGTGTATGGTTCTTTGGAGCAAGTGGGCATCATGAGTGAATGTGTTTTCACTCAAGTTTTTAGACTTTGCTTGATTTGAGCATATTTGGAGCAGTTTTTGATTTGGGGGTTTGTTAGCCAGAAAGTTGACAGTGACTGACGATTCTCCTAATCAAAGACACTGGCAAGCACAGAGGAGACAAAAAGAGGTTGTCTGTGTGTGTGCGTACGAGTGTGTGGGTTGTGTGTGTTTGTTTTTATAATGTCCTGATCTTGTTAACAAAATGGATTGCCTCTGCTTAATAATATACATATATATATATATATATATATATATATATATATATATATATATATATATATATATATATATATATATAATTATACATGGCTAGGTTATACAAAGAATTATACAGTACTCAATTTATACAATACTAGGCAAAAGTCTTCAGCAGCTATGAAAATTGTCTTAAGTGTGTTTTTTGTCATGTGGTTAGAAGAACACAGGTTTATTCCCTGACTTCTTACTCTCGCCATATGGATTTGTTTAACTCCATCAGCAGTACATCTGATTTAATTTAATGAAGGATTGATTAGCTGAACTAGGTATTGGATTGTAACTGTAAATACTGGGCTTCCTCAAGGAGAGGTTTTAAATGATTAAGCTAACACACTCGCATAAAATCAAAATGAACTGTTTATTTGTTTTTATCTTTTTAATGCACTGTTAGTATTTTTTAAGCAACCAAATACATACTGCACAAATAAATTGCTTTATGTACCATGTAGATATATTTTAACATTTTTTCAACATGATAGTATAATACATATCTATTATGCATACACATACAAATTATACATACATTTTTCATTTTAAATTTGTTACAGGATTGGATATTCCTTTTTTCCTCCAATTTCCTATTCAGCATTTTCTGCTGTCATCAGCCTGATACTGATTAGAGATGCACAGATACCACTATTTCCCTTCCAATACTAATACTCAATCCTTAGCTCTGTCTAGCCTAAATAACCTGTTACAAGCAGGCTTTATTACAAGGGGGGTTGGCAAAACTCGTGGAACAGGCAATGGTCAAATCCAGAAAAGCCAAAAAAACAAAGAAAGACACAAAACCAGGTAACCAGATCCAATGGGCAAAAGACAAAAATCAAAGTCAAAGAGTCCAAAGGCAAGATTGAAAAAGACAAAGTGCAGTCAGACAAAAACGCTCAGTAGTTCTCAAAAGTAGAAACAATACCTTGCAAGAAAACCTAGGTTAAAGGGGTTAGTATTTGAGTGAATGCGAGCGATGACTGGAGCGCTATGGAGTGTCATCAGTCTCTTGACCTCCCAGAGGATTCTGGGAGATGGAGTTAATTGCCGCTTCAGAGCCGGAGGGATGTGTGACAGATTGTATTCAATGCTTAAGAAAACCTATTTTTGTTTATGTACTATAGATAATTAGGATTTACTGTTATGTAAGTATTAGTATAAGTATAAATCTTAGTAATAAGAATTATATTTAACTACATAAATGTATAATATTTTTATTGTGCAAACCTGTATTTAAGTATCCAGCAGCTTCTCTGGCTTTGCAAAAACGCTAAATGCTGTTTCACATCTGAATTTCTCAAGTCATTTGTCTCACACGTGCATCCCGTTCACTCGCGCCTACATCTCCAAATGTCAGACTCTGCTGGAGTAAATATTGCAGTCGTACACACTCAGCTTTTTTTCCAGCTTGGTTTAAGCAGCAGGCTACAAGACCTTGCTGCTGTGTGATACAGCTGACTGACAGAGGTGCACCACACTCGGGACTAGTGGACTGATATGTTAAAGGCTAAATCAAGGCTAAAGGCTATTATTACACCAAGAGTCCAGCGGTTCCTTACCTATTGTCTCTCTCTATCGTTCGCACCTGAACTAACATTTACTTAGCTTGTAAATGACTATACCGACAGGTGAGTGATTACTGAAAGAAGCCAGGCTTAACCATTCAGGTAAAGGGATCCCACAAGATACTGGCATTACATATTTTGCCATGAGTGTTTTTACTGCTGCTTGTCAAGTGTCATTAAGCTCTGTCTACTGCACTGTTGTGTTTTTTAAAGCTCTGTCTGCTGGTGCGCATGCAAGTATCAGTGCGTGTGCGCATCGGAAATTGCTTTGTGGTATTGGTCATAGGTATTGGTATCCTCATCACTGATACTGTTGCTGCCTGTAAGTGCCAGTATTTGCGCTGATACTGATACGATATCGGTACAACACTAATACTGATACCCATCGGTACCAATATACATGCATATGTATTTTTTATACATGACACTGTATTGTATAAAGACAAACCTGTGAATGTGTATTGCTGTGTGTGTGCTTGTTTGTGTTCATATGTGTGCTTGAGTGTGTGCTGCTAGTTGTCAAAGCGTAAAAGGTTTCCTGCTCCTACTCTAAGAGTGAGTCACTCACTTTCTCACATACACACACACACACTGCACGTTTCCCCCCACACTCCTGGGCCATAGAGATAGAAAAACCAGATTCAGCTGAGCAGCTTTTCCAGCTCGTGCTCCAAGCCCTTGCTCTCTGAAGGGATTCTACTGGATCTTTGTCCTGCCGCAGTGCTCTTGTACTGGATTTTGGGGCTCACTTATGTAACCTCGTGTGTTACCGTGGCTACTGGCTAGCCGTGTGTTACTATGGGTTACCGTGCGTAACAGGGAGTAACCATGGGTTACGGCCATTTACATGGGTAAATGGGGTAACCGTGGCAACTAGGCTCTGTTTGGCCAACGGACTGCAGAGATAAGAGAGTGTGTCTTGTTTTTGTGTGTATGTCTGCTTATTTTAAATTCTACTCAGTGTTTGTCAGTGTGGTTATGGATTATTTGATGAAAACAAGTGTGTGTGTGTTTATGTGTGTGTAAGTTTGTGTATTCAGAGCAGTGGGGTGCATGTGGGTGGTGGTCAGTTTCAGCGCTGTTTCTGTTGCAGATGGGGAAAAAGACAGTGGAGAGAGAAATGGAAAGAGAGAGAGACAGACAGAGAGAGCATGAGAGAATGATAAAAGGGAAAAGAAGGAGAGACAGAGAGAGTGGTATAAAAGAGAAAGTTTGAAGGGGCAGACAGAGATAGGGACTGTGACAGAGAGAGAGAGAGAGAGAGAGAGAGAGAGAGAGAGGGAGAGACAGAAGATGAGCAAGTCAAATAGAAGGGAAAGGTAGAAAGGGAAACAGAGACAAACAGTAATAGAAAGGGAGAAAGAGAGAGAAGGCAGGAGCTGAGAGAATGATAGGGTAAGGGGAAGAGAGAATAAGAGTGGTAGAGAGGGAGGGAGAGCAAGAGAGAGTAGTAGAAAGGGAAAGAGATGGTAAAGGAGGGGGAGAGAGAGTGGTAGAGAAGGAGAGAGAGAAAAGGAGGGGGGAGGAGGTTCTGTAGCAGATTTTACAGCCTCTACTGATCCCTCTGTTCTCATTTATCTTCCACTGCCAACACACACAGATACACACAAACTCAAACACTCCTCTCTCCGCCTCTGTCTCTCTCACTTTTTTTACTCTCACTCTGTCTTTTTCTTTTTTTCATTCCTCTCTTTCTCTTTCATGTCTCACTCAATGCCACACACACCCTCCTCAAACTCCCCCTCTGTGACGCACATACACACACTCTCACTGTGCCAGACTAATGTTTAGTGGCAGCGATCAAATAAAAAAGCATGCTGGTGACTTTCTGAGCTGTGGAATATCACTGAGTCAGCAGCAGTGTTCTATCACGGTGACCTACACTTACAAACACACACACACATGCAGACTGTTTTGGTTTGTTGGTTTCTCTTTCTCTCTTTCTCTTTTTTTCCTCTTTAAATCAGCCAGACATTTCTACTGTGGCTTGGTGGTCTTGGTAGCTTTGTGTGTGTGTGTGCGCGTGCATCTGTAAGGGAGAGAAGACAGACACTCACTCTGGGGATGAAAGCCAGTCAATATGTGTGACTGTCTGACAGACAATTAGCACTGTGTCGCACGTGTGTGCGGGTAAAAGTAGTGCCTGGGGTGAGAACGTCTGTGGGTTACCATTTTCAGGTAGCTTCATTCATTTGAACAGTTTGGTCTTGCTATTGTGCCCATACCAGTAAAGCTACAATGACTGAGTGTGAGTGTGTGGCTGTGTGTGTGTGCATGAAAGACGTGAGAGAGAGAAAGATTTGCATATCAGCAGCAGCACAGGTCTGGCTGCTTTTAACTGTATGTCAGAAACTCTGTGTGTCTGCATATTTAGGTGTGTCCTTCTGTGATTGTTTGTCTGAGAGTGCGTGTTAGTGACAAAGTAACCATATCTCAATTTTATTGGTTTATACCATGATTTCAATATGCTTTATAATATATTAAAAACACATTCAGAAACAAAAATGCATAAATTGTTAATGAGACATATAAATGGGACGTCGGCTTACCGTTTGTATTTATTGCATCAAATGATTGCCTTGATTGAGCTAAATAGCCGCAGGATGTGGATGAATCCAAATAATCCAAGATTCTTCAGGATATTGACAGCTCACAAGAAAATGTTCATAATGCCAGTTAATACCATACGGTAGTCTCTTGATTCAAAACGCATGCTAAGCGCAAGTGATCCATACAGGTGTATTTCTTAGCACCAAATAAACACAACAAAA